ATATAACTCAGTTGTAAAAAGAATAGTGCTTGTAGGAATTGTATATAGAAAAAGAGGTGCCCTCATATGATATGAGACACTTCTACACAGCAAAATATTTCAAAGGTATCATCACTTAAAAAGAGTTTGTTTCTATCTAAAAATTTATTTAACTCCAAATGAGTTAATTTAATTGTAACCTGTGGGACTGTTGTAAACAAATAATTCTTGGAAGTGAGCCCAATAGAAAGAGCGAATTGACAGATTTTTCTGGCCCTTTAGCACAGCTGTTCTGCCTGCACTGTATTTGATCAATAGGTCTCATAAGATTATGTTTCAAATCACTCCTTCCACACCAAAATAAGCAAATCATATATGTCAAATCATATATTTGGATTTTGAAGGAAAAAAGGCTCATATGAGCCACCTCATATGAGGTGGGGTTTTTTGTTTCAATATCTAAAAAAAATGTCAGGTAGCTTATTTTTCACCAGTATCATACATTACAGAAATAATATGTATTTTGTAGACATTTGTTTTTTAATAAATTCTGTGACCATACTGTACAAACAAGGAGTACAGTAAAAAAGAGACATCAAAGCCCTTAACTGAATGACCATGGTCCTGTGGGCCATCCTCTTAGTGAGCGTTGACACTGCAAACTGACAACTGAGGCAAATACCAGAAAGTCAGAATGCCAAATGAATACCCCACCACTTCCCACATGAAAACATGAGCATGCTTAACATCCCAGCCATAAATGAAATACAAACTCAACTACAGAGAGGTTCCTCTTCATAATGTAAGGTTGCAAACATTGGTAAGGATGAAGAGAAACTGGAAATCTTACACATGGTGCAGCTTTTGTGTCAAGTATTTTGGCATTTCCTGGAAAAGTTGAATATAGATTTACTATACTAGTCAACCCCTCCATTTCTAGGTAGATGTTCCAAAAAACAGAAATCATGTATTCAAATTAAAATGGATGTGCTCTTCACATCTGTCAAAGTCATGGCAATGAAAGAGTCCCAGCATGAGTTTGAGAAAAGAAAACTGGATACAAATGGAAGAAAGAATTTTTGTGTCAGCCAAGAGATGGTAGAAGTGAAATTGACCTAAGGAGTGGCTGTGCAAGATGAAACCCTTTCATTTCCTGACAGGGCGGCTCTATGATGGTCAGCTAGGATGTCTCTACTTGGATAAAATACATGGTAGTGTTTCATGTGGACTTGCAAATACGGAAAAGCAGTAACTCCTGGAGAAGGTGAATGAATAAATGAAGGGTACTTCCTAACACAATTGCAGATGTCTGATAAGTTTGAAATTATTGAGAAGTAAAAATTTTTTTTTACAATATCCATGTCAATATCATGCTAGAAAAAAGAAACATCAATCTTCATTCTACTGGCTAAGTGACTAGTGAGCTTTCTTATTGTGGAGACACACGACCTGACTTCCACAACTAAAGGGAGGGGGGCGCTCTGGCTCATGACTCTGAGGGATTCAGTCATGGTTGGCTGGCCCCAAGACAGCAACATCATGGAGGAACTATGGCAAAGCAAGGCTTATTTGTTTATTGTGGCCTAGAAGCAGAGCAGGAGGACAGTACCACAGAGGAAGGGGTAACTGACCAGAGAGAGACTGCAAGGTCATATCTCCATGTTTCATGCAGACACACCCACAAGTGTACACCACCAATTCCCTGGGTAGATCTGAAATCCAATCAGAGTGACACTCCACATTAACTGTCATTTACATGACATTGATTACACTATATTGCTTGATATTGTATATGTAGTTCAGCATTAGGTAGTCTTGCTAATCTCTACCTGTGCAAAATTTATCAATTAAATTTTATCAGTTTTTTATGTATAGAAAAAACAATATCTGTGTGGTTTATATGGTTATTAATATCCATTGTTGGGTTTGAAACATACAAGGAAGACACTGAAACATAGCCTCTTCAAATAAAGATATATTACTCAGTTTATTTTTCATGGAAACAGAGAAGGGGCACAATTGACATTGTCTGAGCAGACTCATGGATGAACACCTTGCTTCCAGACAAGCAGCATAATATAATCACATTAGAGTATGGAGACCATATGGAAGGAGTCACAAAGAGTTGAGGTGCAATGACAGAGTTCAAAAAATTGGGGAAGAATTATCCACCCTGATTTGGGTTGTAGATGTGGAGAAATGAAAAGAACCTCCAGGTCTGTTAGGAGCCTAGACTTTTCCATTCTGTATCTTGTTATCCTAGTAGCTCAGGTGCTGATGTAGCTGTTAGGTCAATGGCTTTCAATATATGGATATGCCCAGAGATTTTTTTCTCAAGATTGAGGGGAAATAGATTTTTCTGGCATCTTGTGACTTTGGGCCACAGATATGCTAAATATCATACAACGTACAAGAGAACTTTCATTACAAGTGAATAATTTTATGGTGTATTGAAATGTTGGGTTAGGTTTTTTGGTTTTATGAACTCAATCTCAAACCCTTTTCCCTCTGTACAGGTCTGGTGGACGGGTCTTATCTATTCATTTCACTTGTTATTTACAAATGTAAACTAGTTTTACAAGTTATATATTTTAAACATGATTTGGTTTTTCTGAATTTCAGATTATTCTCCATAAAGAAGCTAATAATTTCCACTAGTAATCTTACTATTATACAAAGCACAGAGGTTTCATATTAGACCTTTCAAGAAGCTTTGAACTTCTTGTATCAGAATTCCTGAACTGTGATCCAGTGATGTAATATTCTATGAATGTTTTCATAGTTCCTGTGGTGTGACAGGCTGTGCAGAATAGCCACAGTAAATTTGTTTTTAGAGTTCACCCAAAATATAAACATACAATTTCCAAGAAACAATTAAAATAGAGGAATATGGTTGAGCCTCCAGAAGATTAAACTTTAAGGTAGGGATACTATTTGAAAGGGAGATGTACTTATAAATGATTGGATTTGACTACAGAAATAGTTAGATGGGTCTATACTTCTGTGAGAGTGAGGATGGAGGGATTGTTCTAGAAAGGTAAACAGAATATGTAAATCCCTAGGCACAGAGCATCTCATGAGATATCAAACTGGAATGGTGAAGGAGCCAACACTACACAGGAAAAAGTGAACAATTCAATTAACTGTTTTCTATACATTTGTCATATGGGTATAAGTCTCACGGTATCTATGTTTTTCTTTCTTTTATTTTTTTGGTACTGGGGATTGAACTTGGGTCCTTGTGCTAGTAAGGTAGACAGCATAACCACTGAGCTAAATCCCTGGCCCCTATGTTTTTCAATAAGTAATAATTCTTCAATGTTTTGAATCCACACACAGTATCTTAGAGTTGTCTTTTTCTTCATTAATAAGCACAGAGAGAAGACAAGAACATTCCTGGTTTAAACATACAGACGTCATTCGTATATATTTACATCACAACTGATCAATATTGGTGTAAAGCAGATGAATAAACTGTAGATGGCAGCACAGCCTTAAATCCAGTGACCAAGATGAGAAGTACGCTGAACCTAAAGAGGATCATGACAGTCCTCATGGGTCCTTCCGGGCTACAGATCTTTTGGCGTGTTGCCTCCAACTGCTCAGAACAGCAATGGAAAGCACGTGACACATGTGTCAATTGTATTGGAGGGTTTGTCCTTTGAGAGATGCTTACTCGTTACCGTGCTGCTTTCCCTGGGAAGTGGTTTTGATATGAAGAGTTGCTGGGGTCTCACTGAAATATGTTCTTATGAACAAAAGCTATGAAGAGAATTCATAGAGATAACTCATTTATATTTGGTAGTTTATTTTGTTCAGACACATACTGTTAATTTTACTTTTTTTGTTGTTTTTGTAGGTACAAAATTCCTGACATTCAGGACTTAGAAATAAAAGGATTATTTTAGCTCATGGTTTCAGAGACTGAAGCTGGTTGTTATTTAACCCCAACGGAGAAATATCATAGTGGAAGGAAATGAAGAAAGATAACTGCTACATGAGAACCAGGAAGCACAGAGCAGACCAGGTGCAAGGCAGGAAGGGAGAGGGAGAAGATAAGGTCCCTAATGTCACACCTCCACGCCTCAACCAGACACACCAGCAGCGTGCTTTACTAATACCCCACACCCTCTCATGCCAAACAAGATATTAATCAAGAGTGTCACATGACTCCGGGTAATATTTTCCTTCTAGAAGTATGAATGTGTTGAAAGACAGAGAGTTGCAACTTTTGAGGAAGGAACTACAAGGCGCGGGAAGCTTTCCCTGCCTCAACACCAGAAAGTAAGTTTATTCAGCACTCATATGCTTTTGTTTAGCACGTATATTCTTGGCTTAGAATGAGTAAATCAAGAGATACAGCATGAGAACCTCTTGTCCATGAAGCCAACAACCTTATTCTTAATTTCTCACTTCTCAAAACAGCAGGGCTGCCCTCTCTTCTGTTGTGTCCTGGCCTTGCCTGGACTAGTGACGCTGTCTCACGGTGCTTTCTCCACGGTGAATTGACTCGAACTGTCTTAGCAGACTAGTGACCCCACTTGGAAGAGAAACACACGGGAAGATTCCACTGACTCCAGTAAGATTGGAGTAGCCAGGCATGGTGGTGCATTAATATGAAGCAGGAGGATCACAGCAGGCTCAAGACCAAGTGAGGTAAATAGTGAGTTCAAGAGCGGACTTAATTACCTAGCAAAAAAGTAAAAAAAAAAAAAAAAAAAAACTGATGCAATCACAAGCACATGTGAATTTTTGATATAATGGTATGATGGCAGAGAACTGGAAGTAAAAAAAAAAAAAAAAAAAAGTTGTGAGTACACTCTTCTTTAATGCAGGCTAGGACAGGTTAGCAGCCCGGGAGACAAAACGGTCAAGCAGTGTCTGTCTGGGTCATAATCTCCCACTTCAGGTCCAAGCCACACCCCTTAAGGATTCCTTTCTGCAGTCACTCGCGGTTGAGAGGGCGGGCAACGGAGCAGGACCCAATCAGCGTTGAGGGGCGGGCCTTATGAACTGTCCAATCAGGTGGCGAGGACGGTGGGCTCTATTTTCTGGCATCAAAGCCCAGATCCTATGCACAGCGCTGAGAGCCGCCCCAGCTGGCTAGGCCGTCCTGCTTTAGGATTTCTACTGGCTGCAGACTGCGGGAAGCACCCGGGGAGACCCTCCAACGACAATGGTGAGGTTGTGGGACGAGTGCCCTGACTCAGGACAGGACAGGACGGGGCGAGGCCTGGGCGGAAGCGGTGGGAACAGCAATGGCGCCGGCGCCTCTTCGCTGCTGGGATCAGAGCTCCTCCTGGTCTCCGCGCCGTGGACACTCTGTCCTCCCGCCCTGCCTGAGGCAGGTCTACACTGTGTGCCCAGCACCCTGTCTCTCCACAGCCACCCCCGCCAGCCTGGAGTGCAGTTCCGGGCAGCCGCGGCTGCGTCTCCACCTGTGCGCAGAGAGTGGGAATTGTGGGGAGACCCTGCTTCCCGTGGGGAGTTAGCCTGGGGGACCTGTGCTGTGCTGGTTCCCTGGTCTCATTCGTCCCTTTGGCTGACCTGCAGGACCTCAGTTTTATAAATGTCCGCGATGCAGTGTCTCAGAGCCACACGTTAGTTCCTTAGGCCAGTGCTGCCCTGTGATGAGAGTAAATTGCCAAAGTTCCAATTGCCAAACTTAGGAGAAGTGATGATTAGTGCCATGAGAATTGAAAGAAAGGATCGCCAGGCATGGTGGTGCACATCTATATTTCCAGAATTTAAGAGGCTGAGGCAGGAAGTTCGCTCTGAGTTGGAGTCCATCCTGGGCTATCTAGTGAGAATTACATAGTCTGACTGTAAGACCGAGGGCCTTAACCAAACGCTCCGAGGAGCTGACTGCAGCGAAGAACACCCAGGAAGGAACACACCGGACAAGTTGGAAAGTAAAACAGACCTTTATTAGTCTGGCCAGAGGGCACTCCCAAAGCAAAGTAGCTTAGGGAGGCAACTGCCTCAGAGTCCGAGGCTGTTTTTATAGGGGGTTGCAGGGGAAGTTAGCAAGCAGAACTTATAGAAAAGAGAAAAAAATGTTGATGGTCAAAAGATGTTTGCAGATTGTCTTATAGATAGCTGTGTCCGGAACATCGGTTTCGGACAAACAAGGAGATGGGTAATTCACTTAGGGACTCTATGTTTGTTACAGACTTTATCTTATGTCCCAGAACTGACAAGCATCTTTAACCATTAACTCACATTCAGTTACATTTGGGGCTAGGGGAGTTTTATGATTACAAAGTTATGCAGTCCCACATTCTCCACTGGTTTTACAGCTTAAGTAATCTTACGTATAAATGCAGGCATCCATCGTATACAACAGCATGACAATAGTAAGCATATACACACAACTATAATGAGAAGAAAAAGTTGTTTTAACCATTGTAGGTTGGGCAGCCATTTAGTTAGCCATTGGAACAAGTCCCAGCCGTCTTCATCATGTACCCTTTGAGCCAGGTCTTCTAATTGTTTTACCTTTTTTTTTGATTTTTGGACTATTGTCAGTCAGATTGAAACAACACCTATTTTTTATTTTCTCACAACCTTGGTGGTGGAAGAGCAACAAATAGTCTATTGCTGCCCTATTATCTAAGATTGCCTGTCTTTGTTCCTGTAACTCTTGGTTAATTAATGCCAAGGCTAATGAGGTAGCATTTAACCCTTTGACCACTTTTCATGCTAGTTTTCGCACTGTCTTTTCAGTATGTACTCCTATGGAAGGCAGAGCAACAAAAGATGCTATCATAGTTATCACTTCAGCATCTATCAACAGACCTATATCATCATCACATCCTGGTGCTGTATAAGGTGACCAACGTTTAGTCCTATTGGCACAATCAAATCAGTTCTATCTGGTAAAACTACAGCTAGATGACTCAAGCAGCAATGGGTCTTGGTCAGATTGGCTGGAATATAATTGAAAGTTATTCCTTCACAGGTATAAAACCATCTTGTTGGCAGGGAGATATGGCAATTGTTGTATACAATTTTTTTGTTTTATATGGCAGGGCATCTCTTCTGACCGTTTTATTCTCAGACATTTGGTTGTACAATTTTCATACATAGCACATGGGGTATTATTTGACATAATTACCCTGGGTGTATATAATTTGACAGCATTTTTAGCTTTACGACATGAGGCATGTCCCCAATTATAATTATCTATATAAGTGAGATTTTTTCTGGCATGTCTTTGAACAGGGTATAGGGTCATATTAATTCTAAAGAGGTGCACACCAGAATGAGACAGCTTCCCAGTACATAATGGAAATTTACATCAACATTTAGACAGAATTCAGACAGATTAAGTGAGTTTGCCAATTGAATCCATACAATTTTTGTGTGAGCTAGACCTCTTGGGGGCAGTACTGCCAGTGTCCCAGAGAATATTATCATGAAGGTGAAACATCTCCAACCCGCTCCAATCTTGGCTTTTGGTCACCTGGTTGGCTGATAACCTTCCATTTGTCCTTTGTGACATCCACAGGGGGTCCTGCTTTTAGATGGTTGCGATGTATCCAGGCAGAATGTCCAGCTACCTTCACTGCCAAGGGAGTTGACAGGAAAACAGTAACCGGTCCCTTCCAACATGGTTCCAGGGTCTTGGAATCAAACCTGTGAATAAAAACCAAATCTCCCGCCTTATAGGGTAAAGGTTGTAAAGGTTTTTTATTGGGACTAGGCATTTTCTTTCATAACTTACCATGTAGCTCTGATTGAAGCTGGTGAACTGCTTTTAAGGATTTTAGGAGGCAAAGGTGGGAAAACTTTTCCTTTAATTCTACATCTACTAATGGGATGATTGGGGGAGTTCATCCATAAACAATCTGGAAGGGAGACACATTCAGGGGAGGCTTGGGAGTACACCTTGTTCAGAGGAGGGCAAAAGGGAGAAGCTCTACCCAACCTAGTTCAGTCTCCAAGCATAATTTAGTCAGAATCTCCTTTAAAGTTCGATTTGCTTTTTTTTTTTTTTCTACGTGTCCTGAACTTTGAGGCCTATAGGCACAGTGTAGATTTCACCTTATTCCAAGGATATTACTAATTAATTTAGATATCTTGGCCGTAAAGGCTGGACCATTGTCGGACCCCAGGGCTAAGGGCAGACCAAAACAGGGAACTATTTCTGTCAAGAGCTTTTTGACTGTTACCTCAGCTGTCTCCCTCTTAATGGGGTATGCTTTTACCCATCCTGAAAAGGTATCCACAAAAACTAGCAAGTATTTGTACCCATACATGCCAGGCTTTATCTCAGTAAAGTCCAATTCCCAATGTTCTCCTGGAGTTAGCCCTCTGTGCCGGACCCCAGGGGGCCTGGTTATCCTGTTTGCGTTTACCTTGAGGCAGGTGGGGGCATCGTCTCACCATGTCCTGGGCCTTTTGGGCCAATCCCTCACTGATGTAATGGGGTTGTAGGGCAGCCATCATCCTTTTCTCACTGAGGTGGGTGGACTCATGTAGTTTACATAACAATGTGTCTGCTACAGCAGCGGGGAGCATCACCTTTTCATCGTTAGTCGTCCACCATCCATGTTTTCCTTGAGTCCAGTGCTTCCCGCTCGTTTTAGCCACTTCTTTATCTGTGTATTCAGGTTTTTCTGGGAGTACTGGCATGGGTAGCAAAACCATTTGCTTCCCCACTGATTTTTGGGCAGCTTGTTTTGCTGCCTGATCAGCAGCATTGTTGGCAATCACCTCGGGGCTAGACCCCTTTTGGTGCTCATGGCAATGGATGATGGCAACCTCTTGTGGCAACCAGATAGCTTGTAGTAAGGCCAATATTTCAGTCTTGTTTTTAATTTCTTTCCCTTCGGAGGTCAGCAGCCCTCTATTTTGATAAATCTCCCCATGTACATGGGCGGTGGCAAAAGCATAACGGCTGTCAGTGAATATATTTATCCTTTTTCCTTTCCCCAGTTCCAGAGCCTTAGTCAGAGCAATCAGCTCAGCCCTCTGTGCTGATGTCCCTTGAGGTAGCCCCTACTCCCATTCTACCTGTTGGTCCTGGTTGACCACCGCCACTCCAGCATACCATACACCATTATGAATGAAACTGCACCCATCAGTGTAGAACGTGGTCTGTGCGAAGGGGAGGGCCTAGTCCGTCAAGTCTGGATGCCCTCCCCTCGAGTTTTCAAGAGTCTCGAGGCAATCATGGATGGGCATTTGTTTGTCAGATTCTGGGAGTAGAGTAGCCGGATTGAGGCTAGCGGTGGTGGCAACTTAATGTGTGGCTGTTCCAACAAGAGTCCTTGATATTGTAACAGCCTAGCATTAGACAGCCACTTGCTAGGCAAGCTATTCAACAAGGGCTCAATGGCATGGGGAGTGATCAGAGTCAAATCCTGTCCAAAGGTCAATTTGTCAGCCTCTCAGGTTAAAGCAGCTGCTCCTGCTACTGTCCTCAGACAAGTGGGCCACCCTCAGGCCACTGGGTCAAGCTTCTTTAAGAGGTATGCCACAGGTCACTTCCATGACCCCAAAAGCTGAGTAATCACTCCCTTAGCCACCCCGTTTTTCTCTGCCACATACAGGGTGAAGGGCTTGTTTAAGTCTGGCAATGCCAGGGCTGGTGCTGATGTAAGTGCAGTCTTAAGCAATTGAAATGCCTGTTGACAAGCCTCAGTCCATTCAAAGAGCATATCCCCCCCCCCCAGTGACTTCATGCAGGGGTTTTGCAATTTCAGCAAAGGCAGGAATCCAAATTCTACAATACCCAATCGCCCCTAGGAATTCTCCCACCTGTTTCTTTGAGCTCGCCTCCAGGATCTGGAGAATTGCAGATACCCTTAATTCTGCCAGCCTCCTCTTTCCCTTTTCAAGAATGTAGCCCAAGTAGGTTACCTTGGTCCGACAGAGCTGAGCTTTCTTCCAAGACACCCGATATCCCAGTTCTTGGAGGGCTTTCAGGAGGCCCTTGGTGGCTGCAATGCATTCTTTATTGGTTGAAGTTGCCACCAGGAGGTCATTGACGTACTGAAGAATAGTCGCCTGAGGAAACATTTTTCTTACCTCTTGTAAATCTTTGCCAAGAGCTTCCCCGAACAGAGTGGGGGAGTTTTTGAATCCCTGTGCCAGCCAGGTCCATGTCAGCTGTCCGATAGTCCCGGTGTCTGGGTCAGTCCATTCGAAGGCAAAGAGGGGCTGGCTCGCAGG